GGAGAGATGGCTCAGTGGTTAAGAGCACTGGCTGCTCTTGCAGAGGACCCTGGTTCAGTTCCCAGCACCCACATGGCAGCTAACCACCGCCTGTAACTCCAGTTCTGGGGGATCTGATGCCCTCTTCTGACCTCCATGGGCACTGTACAACATGGGTGCACTTACACACATGCAGGCAATACTCATACACATAAAATAAAAATAATAAATATTTTTAAAATCTCCCTCATATGGAACTCAGGCCAGTAGTCTACATTTCAGCAGAAAAATAAAACCCAAAAAACAGTCATAGTAAACCATTCTTGTTTTCTTAAGAAAATAAATATTTCGAGGAGGTAAAGCCCAAGTACGGAGGCTGGAGTGCAATAGGAAGTGAGGCCAACATTGCAATGACCATTGTGGTCTGTTCCTGGGGCAAGCACCAGCAGGGGCATCAGGGCCCTTACTGTGTCTACCATATGTCACAGACACTCACTACCCTTCCCCATCCCAGGGATGCACAAGTTGCCCCATTCTTAAAGGTGAACCAGTATGTCTCCAATGTTGCCTAGTGCCCCGAACTAGCCCCAAGACTTGTGGTGGGAGTTACAGACTCTGGCCGAAGTCCTGCTTAAATCGGTTTCTATCTTACATCAGAAAAGAGACTCATGTTTGGAAAATGCTCAGTTAAGATAGGCTACCACAGGGCAGCTGTATCTCAGGACCAGTCTGTCATCAGCCAGGGGAAGCCAGGCTGCAGGAAAGGCAAATGGACAGCTTCTCTCAGCGCCGCCGGAAGGCACGGGATATTCTCCAGGCGTTCGGCTCCTCGTAGCGGTTGTACAAGGGCTCCAGGCGCTGCTGCTTCTTCTGCTTGCTTAGCTTAGTTGGATCAGAGACCTTGAAGAAGGCTGGGGCAAACTCCACAAGCCACCTGGGGTCAATGGTAGTGACTTCTCGCATGTATTCCTTTGTGGTTAGCACCAGCTCGTGGTATACAACCCTGTGGGTAGAAGAACTCAGGGGTTGAATCAGGTCCCACCACAATCTGGTCCCTAGGGAACCACTGCTGAGCTGGCATTCTGTCCTAACATTTCTCCTGCTTAACCCTCAGGAGACTGTGGTTGAAGGCCATACCCTAACCTATATCCCCCACCCCAACACAGCTTGCAAGAGAACGAGTTCTAGTCTGATTCTGGCTTGAACTGGTTAAGTGACAGGAAGCCAGTTCTATCTCTTCTCTAGATTTCAGTTTCTTGCTCTATAAAATAAAAAGGTTTCCAGATAGTTCTATAGAATCCTAAGGTCCTGGGGAGGGGCCTCATAAATTACCACAAAGAGATGGGGAAGGCCAAGTGGTCATGACTCCAACTTTCTTATTGTAGAGGCACAGTTTTATATTAGAGTTCTTAATAAGATTTCGATTTTTTAAAATGCTAAACTTAAAAAAAATTGTGTGTGGGTGGGGGGTGGTGTGCATGCAGAGGTCAAAAGGCAACTTTGGAGTCAGTGCTCTCCTTCCACCTTTACATGGTTTCTAGGGATCAAAAGTTGTCAAGTTTGCCTGGCAAGTGCTTTTGCCTGCTGAACC